AAACAAAAAAAAAAAAAAAAAGAAAGAAAGAAACGAGACTGGCATACGGAAATTACAAGTTCTACTGTTTTGTGCACACGGCTGTGAATTGAATGTGTTATTCCTAGATGACGGTAAATTTCCTTTACACGACAAAAAGAATTTAAAATAAAAATGAGACTTCTACAGGTGCTAATTTTAGCGTTGATGGTGGGTTTGTGAAATTGTTCTCATACATTCTTGATGTGAAACTAATTTTTGTATAACTGATCGGCTCTAGATCAAACGGAGGTGTATCTTACAAGATTTGAGATTTATTTTCCGAAATGGTTGCGTACAGGCTGGAAATCTCTCTCTACACCTTTTTGTAATCCCACCATGTTTTCTATGTGAGATTATTAGAGACTTCGCGAGACTTTATCCCAATTGGCTGAAGCAACCCACGTGGACGGTCTTTTGAATATGTATTAGGCACAAGCTCTCCCTAAGACCACAAGCTGGGTAATTATGAGGATTAAGCCCGTTACGAGGATAGGATGAAAGGAAACCCCTTGTTTCTACTCCTTCTCTTTATAACTTCTTGATTACTCCGAGAAACGGCCGAATGTGGGTACGTATCAGCCACGATGCCACAGAGTGCCAAGACCGTAATAAATGTTTTGGGTGGCAATATTATTTATAAACTTGCTTGCTGTTACGATCTTTATTGTGAATAAAATGATTGCCTAACGATTTTTTTCTGACAACCCCAGACGTTGTACGAATTCTCAGCAGCTCAAGTGTGATCTTGACGTGACGTGATTGAGACGCTAAGAGAGAAAATTTAATAAATTGTTAACAATGTAGAAAAATGGAAACAATATAACCTCAGTTTAGCTGACGTAAGGCTTATGAGCTGCCAGTGCACGCGTAACAGCTTAATTATTTTTTTAAGACAAGTTAGACAACCATTCTTGCCCCGCCCTCCATAGTAACGGTGCTTGACAACGGAGGCCGAGCCTAAAGGCTGCCACGGACAGGTAGAAAAACTCGTCCAAATGTATATTTTTAGTCCGTGTTGCAAAAATATAACTTAATTGAGTATTAGATACAATATTGATTGATTCTAACGTATAAAAAACTAAAAATCGAATTTAAGACGTATTTTTAATATCCTTGACCCCTTAAGGCGTTATCAGTATGACAAAGTCGGATGCGTTCTACATCAATCCAGTTTTTATCCAATAGAGATGTAGGACGAAGATGGTCAACTGAATCAAAGAAAATAGCGGCAGGCTACGACTTCCGGTCGCGGTTGATTCTTTACACTCCTGCACAGGTTGTTGAGGACATTGGTCCCTGTGAGTTGCATCTTTATACACATGTCCGCCCCAACTACCACATCGAGGGAAGTTTGCTGGAATCGATGGATACTCTGCAAATTCACCAAATTTCAGCAACATGGCTTGACCCATGCTCACGTGAAGATTAAAATGGCAGTGGAAGTACCAGACACCTGCATGAAAATTAAATGTTATTACATACATAAATAAAAGGAGTAACCCTATCTTTAAAATTCAAACTCTATCCCAACTTGATGTTCGATTATTCTTTGGTGCTATTTTGAGTGCATATTTGAATTAGCAAAAATGGTCACAAATGAATTATAATTAAACAATCAACGTTAGCAATGGGTGCGTTGACAAAGAATCAAAGGGCGTCAAGACACTTACGTTAACTGCAAATTTAACGAAGTTATATATCTAGAGGAATGTGCGGTTCTATGCAGGTTTCAATCAATACTTCAAAAACATTTAGTATGCGATACAAATAATATGTTTATTTTCATTTCAAATGTCAATATTCAACCCTTGCCTGGATTGTCGGTTCTAAACCGTATGATGGCATATCCTCCGTCAGGCACGTTTACTGTGTCACGGTAGCTAGGACTTATAAGTTTATATCTTAGATTGCCCTCCTCGTGCAGTCTCTTTATTTCTTCAACCGAAGTAGAACTCCCGAGCTAGAATTTGAAATTTGAATGCATTTATGTTGTCAGTGTATTGGCAACTTGTCATATGTTAAGCTTCATTATAATTTTACAAATTTAAACAAATTTATATCCATTTACCATTACTGAGTTTACGCAGTGCTGGTAACTTTATTTTCAGACAAGTAAGAAAATGCCCACAAACCTTTCCAACGCCAAGCACACGAAAATGTGCACCGTGCAGATGAAGCACATGCTCAACTGGGAGCCGTCTACCCTCGTTGATGAGGAACATTTCCACGACCTTAGTAAATAACAACCCATTTCATTTACGTCCCTCATCTTAATAAACCAAATAAATGGTAAATAATAATAATAATAATAATAATAATAATTATAATGGAACGAATTAATGGAGGAAAAATAAGAATAGTAAAAAAAATAAATAAATAAACCGAGTGCAACTTTTGTAAGTGATAATTGAAAAAAAGAAAGAGACGAGGTTTACAGTATTAATCAAATACCGATTTTAATGAATATTGTTTACCTGATTAAGCTTGAATTCCACCATATGTGTGCACTGGCAGAAATCGTCACCGCAGTTGGTGGTGTTAACTGTGGAGTGGTTACAAAACCAGGCGGCATCAATGTCATCTGGTTGTGTCATGAGGGGCACAGGAGGGAACGCAAACGTTATCTTTATGATCGTTAAGGAAGATAACCAGTTTTTATATAATTTTCGTGTTTGAGAAGTGATTAATTATTGTACCAATGAAAATATGGAAGAAGATGAAAAAGCTCACGCTTTACTTAATAGAATATAATTGATCAATATCACTTATTTTCATCTTTTCACGTATCAGCATTTTGCTTCGAAGTCGGTTTTCAAGTATACATATCAATAACTATTAAATGTTGTTTATGGTTTTTAGTAGTAAAATACTGGATATAAAGATTATTTCAAAACTATTGGCTTCCTACTTGAAATTATATGTAATGCACCTGTATGTTAACTGTCAAGTAGCAACATTATACATATACGGTTTCCTGGGTCTCTGGGAATATATTTTTTGTATTTAAAAGAATAAAGAATGATTTTAAAGAAAAGATACGTTGTCGAAAGTTGGAGTCAAATGTGTTTTAGCTGGACGTAGCTCCTCGACAGGGTCGTATATAGGGGGGTTGTACTTCGGGTCGTCATTCATCAGAAAGTCCATACCTAAAAAACAAGAAAAATTGAAACACATGTAACGCTATAAGTCTACCGTTTACTGCTAATAAACTTTACCTTTATACATGTAATTGGTTCTTGTACTCCGAGGCTCATTGCTTTGAAGTCAGGTCGGGAAAATCGGTTTGTAGCTTGAAAACTGATCATACGAAGCTCACCAAATGTCACTAAATTTACACACATTTATCATTAGGGTGTGCTAGTTAAAGGTCACGTGTCTAAAAGCGTGTGTGGCTACCACGTTCGGTAATCTTTTCCTGTAGGTGGCGCGGCCTGCCTTCTGCTTTGTGAAATATTGCCTCATGATTCCTCAAAAGGTTGGCGGAATTGGTCCAGCCTTTTTGGCGTTTGGTGGTCATCTGGATTGCACACTTCAATTCATTTCAAAGATGCTCAGTACGGTTAATAACAGGGCTCAAAGATGGTTGCTCCATCCCCTTTGTAGTTTTTGGCAAAGGGTAATAATGTCCTTAGCGTTTACCTTTCGCGTGATTGGTGTATGAAAAACTGCGTTATATCACTTGTGGTTTATACGAAGATCTTTTTCCACATCTTCAGCACACCTTTTATACGGTGCAAATACTCTGTTCATACCCTATTTGTACGCTGCTTATACGTTCAATCCATGCACCAAAAAGTGGCTTCGTCCACTCAAAGTTGATACTGTTCTCATACGGACTTTTGTCCGCTAGAGCGGCACAGCCTTGACCAAGGCATAAGAAGTGTAAATTGTTGAAACCATATCAGACCAATGGCACAAGGGTTTTTACACATCATTAGTCGATTAAAGTTTAAAACTTCCTGTTTAACAAGGTCCTCTCTATCAAAATTATTAAATTTTTGTATATAGTGCGATAAATAAAGCATATACATGTATAACGCAAAAATAATTCGACGAGCTGACACTGGATCATGCAACAACTTGACTTACCAAGATAGTATTTGACATCCACATTCTCGTCGGTAAAATTTTCGTTCTCAATATTTTCCAGCTCGTCCACGAGAATATCAAAGTCCGGTCCGTGGGTTGTAATCGGGCTCCCTGGCTTACTCATGGTGGGATTCAAATACTGAAATATTCAGTTTTGTAAAATACGTTGACGACATGATATACTTCTATCCGTGGGGTATTCGTACATGACCGTATTATATTGTTGCACCCGCTTGACTCAAAAAGTCATGGATGGATTTTGATGAAATTTATAGGATATGTCAGAAGAGTGATTACAAATAGGTTTTGGTGGTGATCCGGATAACCTTACCCAAAAAGGGAAACATTCCACTCACGTGTGCAGGAGTAGAACAAGCTCTAAAATCTATGAAGAATGGTAAATCTACAGGCATTAGCTGATTACATACGGCAGTGACGCTGTGGCTGACATACAATGACAATGATGTTATAAAATCTGGTAGACAGAAGTATGAACAAGGTTATGGACCCAGTTATGGCTTTTAAATGGGTATCAGCTTTGCCAGAGCTATCAGGCTTTAACTTTGATTCATCATCCAGAGATATTCATATACCGGGTACCTTGGAGCCATGTTCATATACCTTGTATCCATAACCAGGGATATTCATATACTCTTAAAATTAAGGTCGATAATTCTCTCAATATTCCTGTATTCACATGAGGCATGGCCTTTGAAAAGTCAAAATTTGAAATGAGGTGCTAACCTGACATCTTGAGCCTCCCATATAAAGACCGATTAAAAATGAACAGGTTCGTAACACCATTATGGTGAACATAAGTTCGATAAGGCCATTCTCACGGAAGTAACGGAAATAAAGCTTCGATAGTACATGAACGTGTAACAAGATCAAACGGTCTTGCAAAAGTTAGCCACAGCTGAAGGTGTGAGGCGCAGAACCAGACAGAAAAAACTATAGATATTTTATCAGACCAAGACTTAAGCGAACAGCCACAAAGAATAGACAACTTGATGCCTGAAGTGTCATCGCAACGCCTCAATGATTCCATATTACGGAATTGAGAGAGAGAGAGAGAGAGAGAGAGAGAAAGAGAGAGATTGAAGAGAGATTAAGTCATGTATTAAAACACGAATTTCAATAACCTTTCCGAGTCTGTTTGCCTTCCTGTCTTCTGTGGGGTACTCGTCAGCCGCGCCATCGTATCTAATCACTCCTAGGGCCACATTCCCTAAAAGGCCACAGTCCACTAAGCCTACCGCTTTCAACCAATAATTACCAACTGACTGATTGGCATGCAAAACGACGTCAAATCTTTCACCTAAAATGAACGAATGATTTTCAAATTTTATTATTAAAGTAATACATTCAGTATGGTTTACTGAAGTTCAAGCCCTGAATTGCTTCATGGGAGAAGCTGTTAGACATAAAAGCTTTACAAGTAAATTGCCTGTACCCTTCGACATCATAATTGCACCCCCCCCCCCAAAAAAAAAAAAAAAAAACATCCCCGCATGGTGATCAAAAATATATTTAAACCTGATTTTATTCCAAAAACGTCGACCTCCAAGGGCTTCACAGCAACGCCATCGGCAGCAATGACAGTCAAGTTGTGGGCGTCAACCGATACTTTAAAATGGCACTTCAGATTACCAGCGTTCGTAAAGCGGAATCGATATCGATTACCCTGGGTCACGTGAAAGACTTCTAGAGGGGGTCTTGCCGTGATGTTAGGGTTAGAGCTTAGTTTTACTTCGTACTTATCAGATCTCCCGTTTAACAGTAAGGAAAGTGGCAGAAAGAAGTCAGCCCTGAAGAAAAAACAATTATTACTGCATAACAAAATTTGTACAAAGAGACACTGGTTCAATAAATAACACTTAGTTAACTTATTCTCAAGAATACAGGGAACATTCTTAAGTTTTAAAACGACATTGTAAGTGGTCAATTATTACAAAATAATTATTTCACAGCATCAACGAAACAAGATATTTTAAAGCTGATGTTCAAAACATTTCTTTCACTAGTATCAACAAACAACACTCACTTGTTATGCATCAATTGAACAAAACGCGCATTCCATGGCTCCGGAAACCAGTCTGCCAGCTGAACCACGTGACTAGGGAGATCCTCGTCGTACAGGGTCCTATGTGGTTCATCTTCCGGTGGTTTGCGAACTATTAACGCACCATACAGGCCATCCGCGATCTGCGAGCCAATGTGGGAATGGTAGAAATGGGTCCCAGCTGGGCTGGCTTTAAACGTGTACCTGTATTGGAACAGATATTTCTGCTTTAGTACCCAGGCTGTCCCTCTCATTCTCTTTCCCGCTCACCCTATCCCCTCCCCAACCCAGAAAATGAATAAATAAATAAATAAGGTAATGAAAAAGAAAAATGCCTAAAATTAATAAAATAAAGACAGAGGGTAGAATTTGTAGCAATATACAGTAATAACGCTTCAATCAACAATTCACGAGTTAAATATGCCATGTTTAAAATATTTAGACTTCATCTGTTGTAAGAAGATTGAATGAATTTTTTTACAAGCTCACATACAAACACACAAACAGAAGTTCCATGTATATTCCTGTATAGTGAAAATGGTTTTAATTCACTTCCTTTTAAAATATTGGCCAACCGGCAACTATCATCATTTGGTTTTGTATGTGTCTAACATTCCCGTAGCGTACCTGAATGTTGCGAACTGTGAAATGGGGCACTGTGTTATCATACTGACTCCGTCCATGTACGGTGTCCCCATCTGGTGGATGCCGTGCCAATGTATCACTGTACTTTCACCGTCCTCAAGTTCATTCTTTACATTCACCACCAAGGTATCACCCTCACAAACCTGGATGACAATCACAAATCTCTTGATTAATTTACAATAAACACATCTCAGCCAATGTATTAATAAATATTCATAATTTATCTATACATGAAAATTTAGGGAGGGCGAAAATATTTTAGGTGGGAATTCAATTGTGTTCGCTCAAGGTTTCCAGTCTTTTTTTACATCTTTGATTTATCAGCTGGTGTAAACTGTCTCAAACCACGCCAAAGCATTCTAAACGAAGGTGTCTGGGGCCTATTTCAACCGTCACCGCGGGGAAAATAAACAACAAAAACAAGTTGTATAAAACACACACCAACAATATTATATCTACACACACTGGACAGTAGAAGTGTCACCCCTACTGAAACATTGCTTTGTGGGAGATAAATGACTGTGGAATGATATGCTCCTGGTATCGTTTTACTAACAACAAATTTCACAAAAATACACAAAATGAGAACAAAACATACACTCTACCAAGATATGCAGTTTCAAGTCCAAAATTAGTACTTAGTGGCATAGCCACGTGACCTAATAATAGCTGCCAGTCTGCGAGGCAAGGATTCATATTATTGTCTAATGCGTTCAGGGCTTATGCTGGCCCAAGCATGAAACACTGAATCTAACAGAGTTTGTCTTCTGGTTGGACGGGCATTTGTCATAAGTTTTGACATATCATTCCACACATTTTACCAGCAGT